TAGCATCTAGGAATGTGGGATTTGATTTATTCTAGATACAGTTATTGTTGCTCAGTCCTTCTACTAAATGGCTACCTCATTAGTTAGTTTTCTCACAATTTCCTTTGACTATATTAATAAAGATAATGAATGACTTTAAAATGCTCTTTGATTATCATTTTGCTGATTTGATCCAGAATTCTTCTTCTCCTTGATAATTTAATGAAAATATCCAAAGATCAATTTAATTGAACCAAGATTTCCTTTGATGACAATTTTCATATCTGTAAAACAAGCATTTATAGGACACATGCATCTGTTTGTGTGAAAGTCATACATTTTAAAATAAAGGCAAAGTTGGCTGTCAAAAATGAGCAACATCAAGTTTTTGTTTTTCCTGTAATGGCAGTTTTTAGATTTCTGTCATATCTTCTATGGTCTCTCTTATTTATATTTCTCTGGCATAACTAATGCCTCTCTTAGGTTAGAGTTGATCTCTTATAGAACTGTCCTTTCCCAAAAATGCCTTAAGGCCAGTGGTACATAGAAATGATTCTTCATGTTGGTTTGTACCATGTCCTATGCACACATTTGGCAGGTCCATGTATCACAGTGGGAAAGGACAATTAGCAAATAAAATAAACAGACTATTTCTTACCCCTTGAACTCCTGTTACTGATCTAGTTCTGAAGTTAGAAATTCTGTTTCCTGGCAAAGTACTAGTAATTGGAAGCTATTTCTACAAATGTGTTTTCATTTCATAAAAATACTTAAGTCTCAAAACCGGTTCTCAAATAGCAGCTACCCACTAATTAAGGCAGAAGGCTTTAGTAATTTAAAGTATTTAAGTGGGTTTAAGACCACAAGTGTAGATATAAAACATTATGAATTTTTAGATTGTTATTTCCTGCTTTCAGTTTTTGGCTTTATATGTATCTGAACACAAAAATGTATTCTGATAAATTATCTTGATTCATAATTGACATATTCTACTGCTCATGTAAGTTTTAATTTTGAGAATTTCTTAAACTAAACACATTGTGTTTTTAAAAGAATTAAAGGCTGATGGAGTTAAAATACAAGATGTACAAACTCATTTAACATTCTTCCAGGACAAGATCCCAGGAAATGATTCTTGGATATGTCTTCTTTTATTCCAAGTGCTTACCCTGGTCACTGTTCTAAGAGCTCCTGACTAATGCCTTCTCAGCTTTTATTATATTTTAAAATACCCAAACATATTTTGCTTTAGAATTCCATATAACCCTATTATTATGCAAGGATGCATATGATAATGTTTTACATATAGAACTATATTTGTATGCCGAAACCATACTATTAATTCTTAAAATAATATTAGCCTCATTTCTCTTTTTGGGTTCACTGACATTGAAAAGGATACTTATTTCTATTTGTGAAGTTATACCATGATCAGGTCCAAGTGTAAGATGGAAATTAATCACTCTCCCTTTAGAAGGATCAAATTTAGGGATTTTAGAGTACCAATTAGAAAATGTGCTCTTTTATGGCATCTTAACATCCTAAGACATTAAATATATATTAAAAAGCACATTCTGAATTGTCAGATCAAATCCATTATGAATACTTACTTACTTACATAGTCAGCCTGACTTCAGTCTGACAGGCCTGCTATCCACCACCAAATGGAGGCCTTTCAGGGATTTACATGGAGACAATGAGAACTGGTCTTACACTTTGGAATGATAAACTTTCTGCAGAGCTGTTTTATTCCCTCTCTTAAAGGGCATATTTTAAAAAGTCTCCCAAGAGTTAAACAAAGGGCCTCAGTTTCCCATAATGACACTTCTTTTGTGTCTCCTGGGTAAAAACACATAGGAAAATATTGTATTTGGCAGCATATCTTGACTATTGGCAGTGGAGATGACAATGATTGCCTCAACTTGAACAGCACAGAGTAAAGGTAGTGGAAAACCCTCTTAACTGAGAAAAACACATCATTCTGGCTCCTTCAGAAGAGAAATCAAGTTCACAACCTACATTAAACCTTACTTACAGAATAATTAAAGCTTTCCATGGAACAAATTTAGTTATTCAAGTAGAACAATTGGGTGACATTTTGTTTCTCTCTCATTAAAATTATCTCTCATATCTTTTAAGAGAAATTTTAAAGATCCATAGCAATCGTCATCAACAAGCAGAATACACATAAGAGAAAGAAAAGCTCATTCAATTCCAATGCTTCTGTTGTAAGAAATCCCACGTTCTGTAAATCTACAGGAGAAGAGAAAAGAATTAAGTAAAGAGATCTCTCTGCCTCTGGTTCCCATACTTCAGAACTGTGTAGAGCTCTGAAAAATCAATGGAATTCCCTTAAAAGTTATTGGTAATGTTGTTATTTTCTACCTGAGTTAACTATTTCTTAGACACCATAAACCTTTGAACCAAACTTCGACACTGTTCTAGGAGTTCTTTACCTGAGGAACTCTAACTGCCAGTATCCCCCAACAATGAAGGAATAAGTAGATGATGTTTGCATGAACAGTTTCCTCCTCAGCTTGATAATGACTCAATTTGACCATTGAAATTGTACAGAATCTTCGTCCCCAAACTGACACATACAGAAGCAAGAAGGAAGGAGCTTTTGCTTATGTTGATCTTTTATGAGTTTCTCCTGTCAAAAGTACCCAGAAGTAAAGTAATAAAACATCATCTTGAAAATAAAATTATTTTAGCTAGCCACAGTACCTATGATCCCAGCTACTCAGGAGTCTGAGACAAGAGTATTACAAGTTAGAGGCCAGTCTCTGCAATTTAGAAACAGCTGTCTCAAAGTAATAAATAAAAAGAGCTGAGGATGTAACTCAGTGGTAGAGCCCCCCTGGGTTCAATCCCCAGTACCACAAAATAAATAAGTAAAATATAATAAAAGCATTTTTCCCAGGAGCAAACTACTGGTATGAACTTGTTATCCATCTTATTCTTGACATATGTACTTTATGAGATTTGGTAAAAAAAAAATAAATAAGCTTAAATATGTATAAGATATGAATAATACATATATGTATGTATAAAATCTTGAAGTTATGGGAAGAAGGACTGAGGACTGAACTTCATCTCTTGAGTAGGTTATAGTCAGCACAGATATCCTGGAATCAGCTCCCTAAACAGTAATTTCTTACATATGTGTAAAGCTTCACGGTTTACGGAGCACTTTTGCCAACTTTGAATCCTTATTTCCTATTCCTCAAATTGTAGGCAGTAGGTGTCTTTGGTTCTCTGGACCATAGCCTCTGAGAATCTCACCATCCTAGGCCCAGGGAATAGGGTTGGTGTGACAGGTCACTGAGGAGCTTTGGCAATGTGCATGTCTGCCCTGATGACTCCCCTTGCTTCTGTAGGTGGGAGGCCACCCCGTGGACCGCCTGCTCCTCCTCGTGTGGGGGGGGCATCCAGAGCCGGGCAGTTTCCTGTGTGGAGGAGGACATCCAGGGGCATGTGACTTCAGTGGAAGAGTGGAAATGCATGTACACCCCTAAGATGCCCATCGTGCAGCCCTGCAACATTTTTGACTGCCCTAAATGGCTGGCACAGGAGTGGTCTCCGGTAACTGTGCCCTCTTTCTTTGTTCATTAGGAGAGTAAGTCCACTCTTCCCTCTCGCCATCATGCCCCACTGGGAACCCCGTGCGGCTCTACCCTTCTCTCTTGAGGTGTCTAGAAGCCCACAAGCTTAGCTTCTGGAGTAGACATGTTGTCAATTCAGCATAACCGAAAGCAAATTGATTTTTAATGTCTTTTTTTTTTTCTTTGAGCTACTTCACAGAAGCCTCCTCTAGTCCCCTCTGTTGGGGAAACCAGTGCCATTCAAGATTCATTGAGGCTGAATGACTGATCCTAAAATCTGTGAAAGCTTCTCTGATGATAGAGCTCAGTAGACTAGAGTTTTGATTTTAAACTTTATTTATTATACTCTATTTATATCCCAAAAGAGGCTAGTGGATTAAATTAAACTGTGTCTAATATTCATTGGAGGGTGGATAAAGTGAAAACGGCACAATAAGGAGTACAAAGTGGACTATGAAAACCAGAAAATTATAGACATTAGGAAACCTGCAATAATTAAGCCTCAAATGTTATTCTGGGTTTCCTAACTGCTCATAGAAAAGGGAAATGGCATAGGAGATAGATGTGGAAGTAAATCATTGGGCCCTTATCCATAGAAATGAACAGAACTCTTTATTCAGCCTCATGGCTTTGTGGGAGCAGGTTAAAGCTGTGATGTCTTCCAGTGTCTAGACATGCAGCTAGACATGCAGAACCTTTGGGGGTGCAATCTACATCTGGCCACTGAATCTGTTCCTGTAAACATTTTTTTTTCATCTCAACATTATCAATTAGATTGGCCATACTGCAATTTAAATTAGCCATGATGGCAGTTTAAAAATGTTTAATATCCACATGGGAGCTAGCATTTCCCATATTTTTGGACATTGCAGTCATTTGCTAAATAAAAAGCAATGTTGGCAATTTAACTTGAGAATACTGTATTCTAGTTTCTTTTCTCCTTTTTGGTGCTTGATTTGAGACTTTGCCCACACTGAGTGCCTCAGGATTACTGACAGATGAAACCAAACCTAAGAAATAAAAAGTGATTTAATTTTCAGCCAGCTTCCTCTCAATTAGCCAAACAGAAAAAAGATCCCATGACTGGTAAAAGTGGTCTAAATCCTCCGGGAATCTTCCTATAAGGAGTCCTCATATAAAAAGCCTTAGGTGCAAAGGGAAGAAAAGGAAACAAGGCTTTGCCTATGAGTCTCTTCTCTCTTGCATTCTCTTTGCAGTGCACAGTGACATGTGGCCAGGGTCTCAGGTACCGTGTGGTCCTCTGCATCGACCACCGAGGAATGCACACAGGAGGTTGCAGCCCCAAAACAAAGCCCCACATAAAAGAGGAATGCATCATACCCACTCCCTGCTACAAGCCCAAAGGTAACCTGCTCTTTACTGGTCTAATTGTTGTATGTATTCAGATGCCATTTTAAACTCCTTTAAGTATCCCATTGTATTGTTAACAATGATTTTTTTTAACTTTACTAAATGTGCTTTTTTAAACCTTTCAAATTGTTTTGATTTTAAATTTTATTAAGTACTACATAGAGCAATTTGTTTATACAATTATCTCCCAAGTCATAAAGTTGTTTGAAGACTGTTGCCAAAAAATATCAGATATGTCTGCATAAAAGGAGATCAGATTGTACAGAGAGATATGTGTAATTTACTGTCCACATTTCTTGCTGTTAAGAGCAAAGGAGGGAATCTAGTTGTGTACAAAATACCTTGGGAAGTCTCATACTTCAAACTGATGAAACAGAAAATGTTGCTTTTATATTGGAAATTTAAACATTGAAATGAAACTTAATTCCAGAAGCATATTTTCAGTGAAAATTTGACATATATCAGAATTCAATTTATTAAAGAAATAAATTTTAGAAAAGTTCTTCTTAGTGAGCAAACTGTCTTATAGTCATACTGGGCCTTCAGCTTAACATGAATACTAATCTGATTTTTGTGCTAGTTTTGTTACTAGTCTGTTAATGAAGCAGGGAAATCTAAAGTTACACACCATTTACATGTAAAGGATTCTTCACTATAAAACTCTTATAATTTTGAATGTTAATTTTATAATGTTGAAGTATGTTTTTCTATTCCTTTTTAAATTTATTTCTTAAGCCACTGAATGTCTGTGAAAATCAGCCATATTCTAGCTCTTTATAATACCTTTGATGTGAATGCATAGCATCATGAAATCTAAAATCAATGATGTAAAAGGAAACCAAAAGCCAAACACATAGTAGAAATCCTGATTACTTTTAATAATTACATCTGTCTCTGAGCCTCAATTTCTCCATCTGTAAAATTGGGAAGGTTTTAATTTCTCTCACTCTCACTTAGAGACCATGTGAGAATAAATGAGATATAATGTACCTAGGATGCTCAGCTTGGTGCCTGACATAGAGTAAATGCTCTCCAAATGTTACCTTCAACTTTTGACCATAATTAGTGTCCTCAGATACTAGAGAAATGGCCCTAGGTGAACTGACAGGACTCAAGTCAAGTGAACAGTAAAATATTTCAAGCTCACTCTTAGTTCCAGAGTGAACCCTTGGTCATTGAAAGGCAGGATGTTTGCACTGTCAGAGATAGCTTAATTGATCAAGCCAGTTAATTGGGATAGATGGGGGAGTTGTAAAGTGATATACATACAGGTTCCGTGTTGCTGGATTTCATGTATTAGCAAATCCTTTTGACTTTGGCAATTTTTGTTTCTTACTTTATTTCCCGACTCAAAGCAATAGATGTATGTAGAAGACAAGTAGCGATGCTACCTACCCCAAATAATCAATTATTTACTAGTCTTGTCTTTAGCAAGTTACTTCAGAAAAAGAAAAGTAGTTTGTGGTTAACGATCAGGGAAAAAAAAATCTAGATTTTTCACAACTAACCAGTGAATCTGGCTCTCTACATATTGTTAAAATACCATATAATTCTATGGTGAGTGCATATATGGACATATTTCTTTCATCTTTACAATTATATGGTATAAAATGGTGATAAAGCTTGACTGGCTCATACTATAAAGGCAAATATGCCCATAAATGACCTTAATGAATATGTCAGGTTGGGAATCTTGGCAGTTACTTCTATAGGAGCAGTTAGAACCTCCCTACTTCTTTGTTTCCCTCCACCTTTTCCCCCAGGAAGTAGTTAGGAAGCTTGTTCTGAGTTGTTTGGCCAAAATTACATAAACAGGTGAAACAAGTCGAATTACAGGTTATGGGCTCAAAGTTGCATGTAGTCCAATTGTCAGGGAGCCCTTGGTGTGGTATTGGACAAGTCAGTTAACTAAAGCAATGTTTTGTGAATTTCACAGAAGCCAAGATTGTTAGCTTTTGATAATTGGCATAGATAACACATAGCCAAAAGGCAAAAAGGAAACAAAATATTTTAATGAAAATACCACAATACAGTTTGTTGTGTTTTGTGTTTATTTTTAAAGGTATGAAACAATGCTTTGATGATTCCTGATATGCATATTGAACTAGTGTTACTAAAGCTGTGACTTTCATAATAAAAGGACTTTCCTTTGCTATTTAATGTACTAAAGGGGAACCATGTACACAGAGATTAAAATCACTAATATTTTGAAAATCCAATTTCATTTTTCTTGATATAACCATTATGAGAAACAGCAATTCACCTAAAAGCATTAGTTGCAGTTATCAACATAGTAAGTTTTGAGGTATAGCACACAACTAAAAACTGATGAGAACAAGGAACTTCCCTGAAATCCCAGATTGGTTCTGACTGCTTCTCTTTTATGTGCATGCACTCAATTCTCAGAGAAACTTCCAGTAGAGGCCAAGCTACCGTGGTACAAGCAAGCTCAAGAGCTAGAAGAGGGAGCTGCTGTGTCAGAAGAGCCCTCGTAAGTTCTTAAGCACAAATAGTTCTTCTTTTGAAGCTTATGGGTTAAAAGAAAGCAGTGTTTCACTGTCTGTGGCTCTCGTGGGTGCTGACCCAAGTGTCATTGTCTTCTCAAAGGTGAAGTGAAGTTTCACTTTTGAAAAATCAGAGATTTTTCATTTTCAAAGCATTGATCAAAACTTTGTATTCAAATGCAATTTAGAATTTTCTTTATCTACCCTGTCTGAACCTAAGTACTGTTCAGTTTGGCCAGAAGTAGAAAAATGCAGTGAATTGTTTGTCTTTGTCTCCAAAATCTGAGCTCTCTTCTCTTGGCAAGAAGCCAAAAGTGAGGAAGCCCAGTCATTTGCATCTGATGATGCAACATAATTAGATATGCAAGTCTGGGCAGCATTTCAGTCCCCTTATCTTTATTTCCCAGCTTTGCAGTATAGCCACTCCAAAAAAGAAAGGGCTCACCCTTTCTCACTCATGAAATATAGATGAGGGCAAGGAGAGTTTTATAGCTTCCTTAGACCCTGATCTTTGCCTGACTTGTTCATAGTCCCATAGCTGCTCAGTCTTATCAAAGCAGGATGTTTAATAAGGCCATCAGGCACAGATTTGCCTGTAGCATCAGAAGAAGAGATAAGGAAGAAGAAAGAAAAGCAAGTTAGTTGATGGACTGATAAATTATATATTGATTTCACTAGAAAACACCAATAGGCATGTCTGCTGCCTTATTTTTACAGAAAAGGGAATATATTTTATTGGCCAATTTCAACTATGACCAAAGCAATTTCTCAGGTTGAAGATTTTCTAGATTAATTCATTTAATGTAAGTACAGGGTTCTCTGTTAGTCAATGGGAACATAAGAACTGTTACCCACCCTTCAAGAGTTCATAGTACCACATTTTCTACAGGAAATGTTTTTCAAATCAACCCATAGTTTAAATTTACTAGAGAGATAAATGAACACTGTAATCTATATCATCAAATAAAATTTATGATTTTCTTAGATTTATCTTGTTTGAATCTAAGCCTGATGTGTTTTGTCCAGATCACAAAATAAATCTCACCCAAAACAGCAAGAGATTCAACAAGAATTTCAAAATACAGATTTGTTCAATAATTGAAGTTCATTTTAAAATAAAATGTATTAAATCACTTGATTTCACAGAAAAAAAAACAGTGCATTTATTAAGTAATACATTTTTTTCTTTAAAAGAACAGCTAAGCAAAACAAATTATTTCTGTTCTATAAAGTTACTACAGCAACAACTTCTATTCTTTGAGAAAAGCAGCTAACCAGGGAAGAACTTTGGAGGAAGTACAGTGGTTAAAGATCACATAGTACAATATTTCAATGAATATATGAAAGCTGCACATTTACTTTTCTTGCTCCTGCCTTTTCCTAGTTTGACAGACCTTCTTTTTCCTGGGAGTAGCTCATTTTAGAAGGGCATTAACTCCTTCATCCACTAAGATCCTATTTAAGACACAGAAAGATGCTGTGTATTTGGAGCTGATTACTCCTTATATGTATTCTTTGGTTCAATATGTTTAAAACCAAACATGTATTATTTTTCTTAAACTATCTGCTCTCTTGTGCATTATAATTTGGCATTTGGTCTAAAACATGATCTTATCTATAACATTGCATTCTGACCCATGTTAAATAATAGAACAAAGCTGAAAATAAATGGAAACATCTTGCATCTATAATTATACTCCTTTAACATTAGTATACACATCTCAGTTGAATGCTGTAACTGGAGTTTAATACTTCAGCAGAAGCATTCTGTAGACCTTGGTCACCCATTTTTTGTAATGAGTGTTTTCCACTGGTGCTCTGATTAAGATGATTTATGTTTAACTTTAGTCTTAATAAAATCACTAAAGTAGTTAAACACATAGTTTTATCTATTGAACTATAGCCATGTATTAGACCATTTAACTTTACTCTTGGTGTAATAGAACTGCCATTATGGTATGATTGATCTGAATTGAAGTAGATTGTAGTTGGAGAGCTAGTTCAGCATAAAGGAGCTATATACAGTTATGCTCAGAACAACAATTATTTCTATACCAAAATGAAATAAATACCAGCTGTAGAATGATGTAGTGAAAGGTATATGGTTTCCACATTTTAATAGTTTTTACATGTTTAGTGCACTGAACCCCAAGAAAGATCCTAAGTGTTACATTTTTAATTGATTCTGAATTTTAAAAACATAATTTTGTATGGTCTTAATTCCTTCTTTTTTAATACCACATGGACCAGTCTCTAGATGTATGTAGTAGCCTTAAATTACTCTCCAAAGTATAATGAAAAAAATGATATACTGTCAGCAGGTCATTCCTCTCACCCCCCACCCCACCACCGAAGAGACTCACATTGCTTAAATTAAATGGTAATGTTTAGAAGCTGTGGCTGTCATTTCTGAACTGCTACACTGAAGCAGGAATAGTGATCCAGAACTATTATTTCTTGCATTAGCTCCAGAAACATTGAAGAGTTCTGTAGAAAAGCATCAAATATCATTTATTTGCCCATATGGAAAGTGAAAATATTATCAACAGCCTGTCTCATTAAATAACACAGGAAAATCACTATGTTTAAGTCTTTAGCATATGGAGATACCCTTATGGAGTGTTAGATACTTTTAGTAACCCCAAAATATAAGAAAAAGATTGGTTAGCACTCTAGCCAAAAATATGTTGGAAAGAAACCTCTCTAAGATATGTTTAGAAGAAAACTATGATAAAGGACTAAAACAGAATTGCCAAGAAATAACTGAAACTTTACAGAAAAGAAGAATACACTGACATTGTGTTCCACTAAGCTAAACACCATACAGAATATAAGAATACAGATATTGGTCTCCTAGAATCACTGAAATAATCATGTGGGTTGGGTCACCTGGTGTAAAATGCTTTTAGATTTATCATAGGAAGTTGCAGCTTCAATTCAGAAATACCTTAAGACATTTCTTGTTAATTCAACAACATAATGACTTACTTCTGATGTATCTGATGCAGGTGATACAAAGATAGGAACATTTTGATGAATATATTTTCTTGGTATGTAAAAATGAATCCCTACTCACTTGTGGAAGTTATAACTTCTGAACTGGTTTTTCACTGGTGGCCTTGGTTTGTCTGATTTGGGCACAGCCTTTTATCAAGTTTTCCCCAAACCAGCAGCAAGAATCATTAAGCAAGATTTTTTTCTTTTAATTGCTATGTCTCCCATTGAACAGGACAATGCAACAAGATCCAAACCCCAAACTGAAACAGCCAGGGAAAGGCGTTTAGCCATGAAGCTCGTCAAACACAGGCAATCTTGTAAATAAATAAAATATAATAAATTGTTTTAGCAATTGTCCACTGGGGAATCCATAGAAATCCTTGCTGTCCAGTTAACACAGAAGGAATTGTGATTCAGAGACAGGCTTCATATTTTTCTGAAGGTAATAACAATGCTCTTAGCCCTAGGAAAGGGAAATAGGGGAAATGCTAATGGATTTCTCTTCTTACAATTCGAACTGCCTCTGAAATTGCCTATAGCCTAGTCTATGAGAATGTTGGTAGATTTAGGACACATCACTTCTATGTCAGATTGAGCCCATCTGGTTCTTTCAACTGAAAAATATATGGGAATAACTTTTAACCCTTCAAAGATTACTTTTATTTCATGGTGGGTCAAAAGCATAGTGTAGTAATACATTTATATTCATTAGTCAGAAGCTAAAAGAATCATTGACAGAGTTCTCATCTCTTATTTTTTCTGCCTTTATTTTCAGTCTTGGTTGAGACATGGTTGAGACACAAACATCACTGCCACTTTGAGGCCAGTAAATACTTAATGACCTCTTTGAAAAGTTAATTTCTTGAGGAAAAATGATAAAACAGTGATCTCTAGGGCATTTAAAGAAAATTTATTGAACAGGAAGCCATTCAGCTGGTATTCTTAAGAAGCCTATCTGATATAGGATAGGAAGGAAATTACTCATTTCCTAACTCCTTCAAGCCACTAACACACCACCAGATGCCATGGAGGATAATTTGGTAAGAGAGACAGTCCTAGGAAAAAGGTAATACCTGGACACTTCAGGTACTCTGCCTTTCTCTTTCCAGTTAGTAGATAAAGAAGTTAGAGGAAGTGAGGACTAACTGGGCACCAAGGAAGTCAGGTTCTTTCCAGATATATTTCAGTTGCTGGAGTTCTTCAATAGTTCAGAATAAGCAATAGCATATAGCAGTCCTCTTGGGTACTATGTAGCCGACACAGCCATTTTAACCAGAAATCCCCTCATCAAATAGCTGGCATTCACCAGATAGATGGCCTTATTTATAGATGCCATCCTCTCAAAGGTAAGATTGAGTAGTCCTTGTGCCTTGATCTTGCATTTTGAGCAATTTTGGTTTTCAGTCAACAGATTTGTGTGGTTAAGAAGTCTGCACTAAGGAACGACAAAATCATAGAATTTGGAGGGAAATGGATGGCATTAGAGCAGATTATGCTAAGTGAAGCTAGTCAATCGTTAAAAAACAAATACCAAATGACCCCTTTGATATAAGGGGAGTAAACAAGGACAGGGTAAGGACGAAGAGCTTGAGAAGAAGATTTACATTAAACAGGGATGAGAGGTGGGAGGGAAAGGGAGTGAGAATGATATATAAGAGGAAAGGAAGGGTAAGACAAGATAATACAAATGGAAGAAATGATTTACAGTAGAAGGGGTAGAGAGAGAAAAGGGGAGGGGAGGGGAGGGGGGATAGTAGAGAATAGGACTGACAGCAGAATACATCAGACACTAGAAAAGCAATATGTCAATCAATGGAAGGGTAACTGATGTGATACAGCAATCTGTATACGGGGTAAAGTTGGGAGTTCATAACCCACTTGAATCAAACTGTGAAAGATGATGTATTAAGAACTGTGTAATGTTTTGAACGACCAACAATAAAAAAAAAAAAAAGAAGTCATTTGGGAACTTCAACATAATACTCAGGCC